GAAATGCAGCGGCGAGATGCAGCGTGGAAATGCAGCGTGGAAATGCAGCGTGGAAATGCAGCGTGGAAATGCAGCGTGGAAATGCAGCGTGGAAATGCAGCGTGGAAATGCAGCGTGGAAATGCTCGCTCCCTGCAGAGGAGAGGCACCACAAGGAGCCCAATAAAGGACATTTTCCCAGGGCTGGAAACCTCATTTAGCAATTATAGAAACATGTAACAATTATTACATAATATTAATAATAATTAGTTCTTGTATGAGCCCAAAGGCAGCCCCGTCCCAGGCTCTGCCTCCTTTGGCTTCCCCACTTCCAACAGCACACAAAGCTCTCCCTGCTCTCCCCTGGGGCAGAAATCAGGGAAATTTGGGAGGCTCAGGATGGATCTGGGGCAGAGTTGGAGGCTCAGGAAGGATCTGGGGCAGAGTTGGAGGCTCAGGATGGATCTGGGGCACATTTGGGAGGCTCAGGAAGGATCCAGAGGCACACTGAGGAGTCTCAGGAAGGATCCAGAGGCACATTTGGAGGCTCAGGAAGGATCTGGGGCACATTTGGAGGCTCAGGAAGGATCCAGAGGCACATTTGGAGGCTCAGGAAGGATCCAGAGGCACATTTGGAGGCTCAGGAAGGCTCAGGCCTGGAGCAGGTGTCTGGGCTGGAGGCTGCAGTGATTTCAGCACCGCTCTCTGCAGCTCCTCGTGTCAGAGCTGGGATTTTTCCTGCTGTCACTCTGAAGGTCAGAAGTGTCCTCAGTGCAGCTCTCTGAGCAGGCAGAGCTGGGCCTGCTCCTTTTTCTCCCAGCCTGCTGACAAGTCTGAATGCCACAGTCAAGCTGCCATTTGGGGGGGATAAAAAAGGAAGGCAAAACAAAAACAAAGCCCTGGCTCTGTCAAGCTGTTCCACGGAGCACTTCAGTACAACTGTCATTGTCATCCCTCCCCTCCTGACATGAAATCCAAGACACTTTTTGAGGAGGAGGAGGAGAAATAAATGAATATTGCAGCTGTGGCTTCCTTCCCTCTCAGTTCTCCTGCTGTATCTGGGGATTCAGTGCACACAGCAAGCTCATCTCCAGAGAGCAGCAGAGAAAACTGCAGAGGAGAGGCCTCTCCCAGCTTTTATCACATCACTCAGCCTTCTGCTTGCTCCTTAATTCCAGCTGCACTGGCAACATAAAGCTTGACAAATATCAAGAAGTTTTTCTTGATCTAATGGCTTCCAGTTCTGCAAATAACAGTGATGGGGAGAAGGGCTGTAAAATGCAGGGAACACAAGAATCCTGCCCAGAGGGTGTGGGACAAGGCACGGCCAACCTTCCACGTCCTGAGATCTGTCCTGAACCTCACTTCCCTACAAAAACGGGGATTTATTCCCTGTCCACCAGCTCCCTGTGATGCACACACAGCTTTTAACATTTCCTGAAGGGGAAGAGCTCCTCAAGACCATCCCAGAAGCAGTTCTGGAGCCAGCAGGCAGCAGCTCCCGGTGCTGTGATTGAACCCAGGCTGTCGGTGCTGGAGCACTGAGCAGGAACTCCTCCAGCATCCGCCCTCTCTCCACTCCTGTGTGCAACACCACAGGCAAGAGGCTCAAACACAAACCCTGTGAGCCACACAAGTGCAGCTGCCAAAAGCCAATTGAATCCCTGCAGTGAATGGAACAGGAGACACTGGGGACAGCTGCAGCCATCAGGGTGACCCCCACCCTGGGAGGGACTGAGCCTCAGGGGGCCTGGGATGAACCACAGCCTGCCCAAGATGCTCCTTCTCCTCTTACAAACTCCTTCACCAAGGATGCAGCACAGCATTATCAAAACCATCTCAAAAACTGATGAAAATGAGCAGGAGCTTCACATTTAAGAAAGGGTCAAATTCCTAAACCCCTCAGGAGCTGCTACGAGATGGATCTGGGGCAGTTCCCAAGGCAATTCCCAAGGCAAGTTCAACTCCATGCCCTTAGGGGGTGTTTTAAATTCCAAACAAAACCCCAAAAAGCAGCTACACACAGGCAAGCTGACACAGGGAATGGCAAATTGCACAGGCAGTTAACTCCAAGCACAGAGGGTTTATTTTAAAATACACAATTATGTTATTGGCCTCTCCATTTTGTTTGTTTGGGAAGAAACAGCACTGGTGGAGCGACAGCAGCTTTAGAGACACCTTCATCCACCAGCTTCATCCTCACCCTGGGAAACTGAGTCACAAAAGGAATGTCCTCACGGGCAGGGAACTCCTGCCTCTGCAGGGGCAGCGGGGCAAGAAGCAACCCCTGGGCTGGGGAGCAGGGTGGAGCTTTACCAGGTGCAGCTTTACCAGGTGCAGCTTTACCAGGTGCAGCTTTACCAAGCTTTGGGTGCAGCTTTACCAGGTGGAGCTTTACCAGGATGGAGCTTTTACCAGGTGCAGCTTTACCAAGCTTTGGGTGGAGCTTTACCAAGCTTTGGGTGGAGCTTTACCAGGTGGAGCTTTACCAAGCTTTGGGTGGAGCTTTACCAGGATGGAGCTTTACCAAGCTTTGGGTGGAGCTTTACCAGGTGCAGCTTTACCAAGCTTTGGGTGCAGCTTTACCAGGTGCAGCTTTCCCAGGTGCAGCTTTACCAAGCTTTGGGTGCAGCTTTACCAGGATGGAGCTTTACCAGGTGCAGCTTTACCAAGCTTTGGGTGGAGCTTTACCAAGCTTTGGGTGGAGCTTTACCAGGTGGAGCTTTACCAAGCTTTGGGTGGAGCTTTACCAGGATGGAGCTTTACCAAGCTTTGGGTGGAGCTTTACCAGGATGGAGCTTTACCAGGATGGAGCTTTACCAGGTGCAGCTTTACCAAGCTTCAGGTGGAGCTTTACCAAGCTTTGGGTGGAGCTTTACCAGGATGGAGCTTTACCAAGCTTTGGGTGGAGCTTTACCAGGATGGAGCTTTACCAAGCTTTGGGTGGAGCTTTACCAGGATGGAGCTTTACCAAGCTTTGGGTGGAGCTTTACCAGGATACTCTGACTCCATGGGAAAATGAACGGAAGCGAGGAAGCACCAAGGTGAAATACTAAACCTGGAATTTCTCAAAGCCACCTGTAACTGGGGGTTGGATGTGAAAAGGGGCAGCAGAGGCACTGAGCTGCCTGAAGTCCAGTGTCAGAACTGGAAAGTCTCAGCAGCAGTGACAGAAACTGCAGCCAAAGCCAAGGGCAGCAGTGAGGAATAAAAGCAGTGGAATGGTTTGGGTGGGAGGGATTTTAAGGATAGTTCATCCCATCCCCATCCATGGCAGGGACACCTTTCCCTGCCCCAGGGTGCTCCAGCCTGGCCTTGGGCACTGCCAGGGGTGCAAGCTGCACTCAGGGCTGTCCTTAACTGCACAGGAAAACAAGAGCAAAGCTTTCCCTGGGACAAAGGGAACCCCTTCACTCCCAGAACATCCAGGGAACCACACAAACCCTTCAGCTCATCTCCAGGGGGGCTCTGACAACAAAATCACACCAAATCCACTTTGAAAACCTCATTTCTCACCCGAGCAAGGTCCAGCCCAGGTCAGGGGAGCAGTAAATTATCCATTGTGTAGCAATGGCTTTGTGCTGTCATTTCTGATGTCCCCGGCCTCTCTCCACCCTGTGTGCCCTGCAGCAGCCAGGGACACAGGGGAGACGGATTAAATTGCCAAAGAAAACCCTAAAATCGAGCTGCTCTTTCCCTTGCTGAGATGGCAGTCACAGCTTTATTCCTTGGGATCCTTCGGGGTGAGGTGGCAGGAGGGAAGGAGGAAGAGGATGGATGAGCACTCCTTTTTGAGGACAGGGAAAAAGGGTGGGGGGAATTCACACAACCAATAAGGGGAACTGGGAAAGAACAAGATAAAGGGAAAGAAACTCACAGTTCTACATTTGTGGGGGTACATTTTTGGGTCACACCATTTTTCCTAACTGCATTCCAACAGCTTTGGACTCACCCAGCGGCGAGGCAGGGGCTGGAGCTCCAGGAGAAGCCTGAGCTGAGGACAGCAGCCCTTCCTCCAGCGTGGGGAACTCGGCCTGGTCCGTGCAGCCGCTCTCCACCAGGCACAACCACGAGCCCTGCGGGAATAAAAGCAGCCCTGAGAGATGGAACAAAGCAATTCTGCCTCCAAACAGGGCTCCCAACACTCGGCCTGGAACGGGAAAGGATCACAGCTTGATAATAAACACAGAAAACTCCCACTGAACTGACCCTGCCGGGGCTCTCCTGCCCCTGGAGACGCTCCCAAGGTGCTGAAGCTCCCTTCCTCAGCAGAACTTTGCTGCATGAGCCAGGAGTTTTGCACAACCACTCAGAAATCCAATGGTTTTTAATTTATTGATAACGCTCAGCCTTTGGCACCTGCCAGCTGAGGGAATTCCCAGAGCAATTCAGTATTTGGCAGCACATCCAGCAGATCTCTGCCACTGCATCACGGTGCAAGCTCTGGATTGCACATAAAGCACCTCCTTTTAATTGCAGTCACTAATTAACCCTCACCCCAAGCCACACCAGCTCAGTATACACGCTGCAGCAGCAGTGTCCTGAGGGATGGCTGCTCCCAGGGACATCCCAGGAATATCCCAGGAATATCCCACTGCTCCCAGGGACATCCCAGGAATATCCCACTGCTCCCAGAGACATCCCAGGAATATCCCACTGCTCCCAGAGACATCCCAGGGACATCCCACTGCTCCCAGAGACATCCCAGGAATATCCCACTGCTCCCAGGGACATCCCAGGAATATCCCAGGAATATCCCACTGCTCCCAGGGACATCCCAGGAATATCCCACTGCTCCCAGAGACATCCCAGGAATATCCCACTGCTCCCAGAGACATCCCAGGGACATCCCACTGCTCCCAGAGACATCCCAGGAATATCCCACTGCTCCCAGGGACATCCCAGGAATATCCCAGGAATATCCCACTGCTCCCAGGGACATCCCAGGAATATCCCACTGCTCCCAGGGACATCCCAGGAATATCCCAGGAATATCCCACTGCTCCCAGTGAAATCCCAGGAATATCCCAGAGACATCCCTCTGCTCCCAGGGACATCCCAGGAATATCCCAGAGACATCCCACTGCTCCCAGGGACATCCCAGGAATATCCAGGGACATCCCACTGCTCCTGGACTCCTGGGTTGTGCTGCTGCAGCTCAGGAAGTGATGGCACTGGGCTACAAGGGATCATTTGCTGGTTAAAAACACAGATTATTGCTCTGTATTTCAGAGTGTTCATTTGCTTCATGGACAAAGAAATCCATGGAATACTCAGGCCATTCCCAACAGGAGAAGCTGGGCTCCAGCCCCACCCTGGGCAGGGACCTAAACCCCACCCAGAGTCCCAAACTGCACTGCAAGAGGCAGGCTCCTTTCCCACTTCAGCTCCCAAAACCTGGGAGCATCATCCTGTGCACAGCAGCCCATCCCTCCTGAGGGACAGAGCTGCCCATTCCCAAATCCATGAAAATCAGGTTTGGAATAAACTCTAAATTCAGCACCTCCATCACAATCACCACTCACCCTGCCTGCTTTACAACCAGGGCCTGTGGGGGTTTCCAGGGACATCTTTTACATTTATTTCTCATGTTTATCTATTATTTCATTAAAACGGGATTTTACTTCTATTAATGATTTAAAATAGATTATTTTAAAGGCATCTTATGCAAATATCTTCAAAGAAGCCCAGGCTGATTTGTCTATTATAATGGAGCAGTATCTGCCATCCTTGAGGGCAGGGATTGAAGTGGGATTGGATTCCTGCCTGGAACTGAAGAGGGAATTCCTGCCTGGAATTGAAAAGGGAATTCCTGCCTGGAATTGAATTCCTGCCTGGAATTGAAGTGGGAATTCCTGCCTGGAATTGAATTCCTGCCTGGAATTGAAGAGGGAATTCCTGCCTGGAATTGAAGTGGGAATTCCTGCCTGGAATTGAAGAGGGAATTCCTGCCTGGAATTGAAGAGGGAATTCCTGCCTGGAATTGAAGAGGGATTTCTTGCT